AGTAGCGTCCTTGCTCCTTGTGGTAAGGCCAGGAGCCCCTAGTAGCGAACTTCGCGCATCGAAACATATAAATAAAGCGCGAAAGAAGTAGTTGCGAAGCGTGCGGTGGTGCGAAGGCGTGTGGTCGAAGCGTGTTGCTTTTGCTGGCGATGAGGTCTTCTTGCTTTCTCTTGAAGCTGAAGGACGACAGCATTGAGGGCATCTATGACACTTTGAAGCTCGCTTGAAAAGCTCTGCATGCATTGCCCAGCAAGGCCCGAACTCCGAGTCAAAGTCAGAAGTCCAGCCGTCCGAAGTCCGGTGAAACATGGTGCAACTGTGTGGTGAATGTGGGAGGTGGGCCGAATGATACTGTGCAAGGTGAACATCCAGTGTGCCTTTTATGTGGTTTTATTCGTTTCTGCGGTAATTTGGGGGCAGCTGGCGGCTGGGTTTTAATTCCGCCCTGTAAGGGCTTTTCTCCGCCCCGTGCGGGCCTGGTGGTTTCCGACGAGTAGGCTGTATTATAGGCGTTTTTCTACCCTGTCTTCTGCCCGTATGCTCCATCGTGCACGGGTTTCTTTCCCGACCGTACAGGGGGTTTCTCTTGTACCCTGCAGGGGTTTCCTTCCCGACCGTGCAGGGGTCTTTTCGACCTTGCCCGGCCTGCAGGGTTTCTTTTTCCACCCTTGTCAGGGTTCGCATGGGAAACGCCCGCTAACCAAACCATTTTTTGCCAACAGCCCGGTGTAGACATGCGTCTGATTGGTAGAAACAAGAGAGCTAGGTGGAATACACAGACTGGGCCAAAGCTCTGCAGTGGAGTATTGGGAGGCCAAAGACAAGCACAACTTGTGCAAAATTGTCGCGGCGGAGGAAAGCATGACTTTTTGGGTCATGCGAGCCCAGGCGACCGACCGAGAGCCTCCAGCGGAAGCGACGGTGTCAGAGCCCCTAGCGGCGCTAGCGAGACAGCTGTCGCGCTACTCCGAATGGGCGGAAAAGACCTGGACGCTGCACTTGCAGCAGCTGACGTATTCGGTACCCAAGAAGGAAAAGCCAGAGTCAGCATCACCGCGCTCCAGTTGCTGTTCATCGTGATTGATGGCAACATGCCGTCTACATATTTCAAGCGGTGTGATGGCCGTGGGAGAAACACCCGTTGGCGTATCTGCACGTGTAGCACTTTCGCCCAGAAGGGCAATTGCCCACACGTGTGGTATGCCGCGGCCCTACTCCAAGAACTTGATCTGGAACAAGCTTCAGAGTGGGGAAAGCCCGGTAGGAAGAGAAGCGCTGCAGCGCCAGAGGGGAAGCCCGTGAAACGGCGCCGCTCACGTACTCCGTGCAGGTGACAGACTAGAGGGCTATAGTGCAGAGAGGTGGTTCGCGCATGACGCACAGGAGCTCTTAGGGTCAAGTCGTGTAAATATGTGGAGGATGGATGCACCATAAACATCGCCCACGCATCGCGACGGTACACTTCTTGATTGCGACAGTCGACTTCTTGATTTGTGCGCTCGTACACTGTGCAAGGGTACACTTGTTGAATTGTGCACTAGTGCACTTCTCGATGTGTGCACTCGTACATATGTCAATCTCTGCGGCGGTACGCTGCTTGATTCTCTCTCTCTCTCTCTCTCTTTCTCTTGCTCTCCCCTCCTCCCTCCCACGTCCGCTCCTGGATGCTTGCGTCATAGCTGGGGGCACCGTCATCTCTCCTTCTTTTTTGTTGTTTTTCTGTTTTCCTGGAACAATCCATCTTACCCTGTCCCCTGCCTCTCTCTCTATCAATCTCTCTTTCTACCTGGTTGTGTAGCTGGTTGGGCCGGCCGTGTCAAGCACCATCCACGAAAATGCCTCATCGCAGCCGCCGTAGTGTTTTGCCTTTCCAATTTAACTTTGCATGCTCGCCTAGAACTCGGACCCTACAACTCGCCCTCAAATATTCCTGTCAGGGAAGATAAGGGGAGCATTTTGTTCAGCATGGCCAAGCTCAGGAGATCGTGGCCCAAACGGGCACTGTAGGGTATGTCTATGCACGTGGCCGTATTCTTGTGGGCAATTGCTGTGGCTGCATTCTTCCAAGAAGATGTTGTACTATGCAACCTTTTCTTGCACGCTCCGCATGCGCGCTGAGCAAGCGCCGGACGTTCTTGCCTACAAATGTTTTAGATATTCCGGATATGCTGCAACTAATGGACGCAAAGCCGCGGTAGACAGCGGAGCACGCGCATCGTCATTTTGTATCATCACCCATGCATTTCACGCTTCCTCCACCCAGCGCACTTGTTCCGCTCTTTCTTTAAGGTGCTGCACAGAGCTTCCTTGCGCATGCTTGCCTATATCTTGGGCCCCAAAAGTCATCCTCAAATGTTCCTGCCAGGGAAGATAAGGGGAGCATTTTGTTCAGCATGGCGAAGCTCAGAAGAGCGCGGCAACAAACCGACACTGTAGAGTCCGTCCCTTCTTATGAGCGATTGCTGTGACTGCACTGGTTCGCTTCTTATAAGCGTACACGCTGACGAAGAGCGTGACTCAGACTTGACTTTCGCACGCGTGCGGTGAGCGAAAGGAGCAATGGGGCGAAGAACAAGGATGAGAGATTTTGATCCGAACTTTTTGTTTTGGAATATGTGCTGCTTCATGGGAAATACGTTGGAGCACCTATTTAATTTCGTCCTAAGACTGTTGTTTGCAGGGGGTCTTCCACGGGAAGATGGTCAGATTGGTGTGAGTTGAAAGGAGTTCTGCGCAATGGATTCCGGCGAGTGGTGTGCCACAGGGACAAGAAGCCTGAGCAATGGATTCTGGCCAGTAGCCGCGGGTCAAATCATAGGGTTTCTTTTTCCACCTTGTGCGGGGCCCTGCACAGGGTGGAACAAGAACCTTGCACAGGATTTAAAAAGAACATATGTGACAAGGTGGAAATAGAACCTAATCCCGAGTACCTATTTAAAAACGGACCCTTTTAAAAAAAGTCATGTCGGTTCCCCCTAAATACGGTTTATATGTGTTTTAGCCGCTACCAAACTACCAACATGGCCGATTTTGGCGGGGTTTTTCTTATTAGGTTCCAAAAACAACCGTAACTGCCGACCTGTGTCCGCCCTGTCTATCCACCATGACACGCCGCGCTTACACCAGCAGGCTTTCCTTCCCCCAATGGCACGGACTCACGCAAACGCACTTGCCACCGAGGTCATGCAACACCGCATGGCACGGCGACATCACCTTTCGAAAGCTTTAGCTGTTAGTCTACTGAAGAATCACTATTCTAACGAAGGTTTTTGTAGGGGAAAAGGAAGACCCTTCGATCTGGATGTTCTTTGCATTTTTGATACGAGTTTAATAAAGGATTTTACATAAAATTGTACTGGATTACTTTTTGGTTTTGAAACTCTTTCCAGGTGACCCTATTATGGACCCCCCGATTTCAGGGACCCCTATTTAAAAAAATGCGACCGAGGTTTCCTTATTGGGGGGGGGGCCTCGTTTTTTTGTGGAAGGGATTAAACATGGCAGAGAAAAAGAACATGCCCGTTTCTCTGCAGTACTTAGATGGTCAAGAGCTGATCCACTATAATATGTGGAACAACTGAACTTGTGCTCACTGAAGACACTATTCTGTTTGTGTGTATGCTTTTGTTATTTTGTGCGCAAACTCGGGATAGCAACCACAGTCATCACATGTGCGAAACCCCCAGCAGTGCATCGGCCGATGTTGTCAGCGACGTTTGTCCGAGTGGAGAAGCACTGTCGCACCAGACAGACCAACAGCTTTGGTGAACGATGCTGCGCATGCTGCACCTTGCTGTCCAAGATCAGAAAGATGTTCCGAAAGACCAGTCAGGTTGTTTGTTTGATATTGTGCAGCAGGGCCACTTGAATAGTACTCAGGCCAACAAAAATATCCAGACCCCGAGTCTGGTTGCAGGAAACAAATTCTTTTCCGATGCCAAACCAGTTGGACCACGTCCCCGCCCAGTCCCTGCTTTGAACTTGCTTCGAGGAAGCAGTGCGCGCTGATCTCCAAATCCGCCGGTGGCATCGGTGTGGCAATCAGCAACTAGGTTGAATTTCGAGCCGAGAAAGATCGACCCGTCCGATACAAGTGGATAACCACCTGTGCCGATGTTTTTTTCCGGAATGTTGTTGTTTTTTCAATGTGTTCTTCTAGCCTGTCAAGGATTTACGTGGACGATTTCGGAGGTGTCGTTGTTGTACTTCTCCAGGTTTGTTGGTCTGCAGACGTGGACGATGTTGGAGTTCCGGCGTGACGACCGGGACGGAGACGGGACGAGAGATGGATGTGAATTCCAATTTCCTGGGTAGCCGGGAGGGATGATTTGAAGTTGAAAGGTGACACCTCCATGGAATAGGTTAAACTGTTGAGGATGTGTTTTTCTTATCAAAGACACCAACAAAATAGTGGGTGGGAAATGGCGAGTTCGATGTGTTTTGCAGGTGTTCAATGTGTGAAAGGGTTTCTGAATGTTTTATCTATAGATATATGTACATTTATTCAAGTTCCACAATGCAGCCCTTCAAAGGTGTAGTCGATCCGCAGTTTCCAATATGTGCGCGGTTCCATTGAAAGTCCGAGTCGCACTTCCCAATGGTTTCCAGTTTCTTTGCCCAAACAGCATGCATGACTCGAACAATTCCAAACCTGCACACTGAACAGCCTGCACACCTGAACATCCACCCGAAAAAAAAGCGGGCTTGCCGGCCGGGCCGGGTGGGGGTGTTGGAGGCAACGTCCGCGCCAGCGGCTCCTACATTCGTGGCACCAACGGCTACAGCAACGGCCTGGTGCCCATGCTGCGGAACTTCAACGAGACCGCGCGCCGCTCGGAGGGCACGGACCGGTCGTACCGGCACGAGGCGGGCGGGTTCGGGGAGGCTCATGAGTGATTGGATGGCCTTCACAGGAAGACCTTGCTGAGGTGTGGTTCCATTCATTTGGATGTGCTGAATTGTGAAGATGGTGAAACACAGCACTATAGATTTGTGCCATACGTATCCAAAGATGTGATCATGCCATCGACTTTGAACCGCAGTAGCCCTGTGTCCATGTTGACCTGATGATGTCACACCTGGAGCTTAGTTTGTTTTGTTAATTGTTTTAAAAAATATATTGTTTAATCATCAGCCCACGGCTTTCTGTGTGTTACGTAGATACAGATATCATATCACACATTGATTGTTTACCAGGTTTACCAGTTGCATCCTATCCTCATCCAGCTGTCCTTTTGGTCCATGTACTTCTCAACTACCCAACTACTTCAGCTCCTCACGCTGAGGCTATGTGGATCAGGGCGGTGGCAAACGTAAGGGTTCCTTTGCCATGTACCTGGAGCCCTGGCACGCCGACGTCTACGACTTCATTGAACTCCGCAAGAACCACGGCAAGGTCGTGAGGGCCCGGGTTAGGTGAGTGGTGAGGGGTATGGAGGAAGAAGAGGGTGAAGCCATCAATTCGCAAGTTAAGTAGGGAGATGGAGGAAGGAATGAGGTCGCAATGTTAGATCTAGTGGTTCCACCAGTTGCTCCTTGTCCTTCCCTTTGCGACCGAACAGGAGGAGCAACGTGCCCGTGATCTCTTCTTGGGACTCTGGATCCCAGACCTCTTCATGAAGCGCGTGATGGAGCAGAAGGACGCGTGATCTCGTTTGCTTGGTCGTTCTGCAATTCATTGTTTGCAAGTAAGGCACTTGTTACTAGTAGCTTCTTGTTACTACTAGTAAGGCACTTGTTACTAGTAGCTTCTTGATACTACTGGTAAGGCACTTGTTACTAGTAGCTTCTGCAGATCTGGCGGGGGTGGCTTGGATATGAGACTTGGAATCCTCTCGTTGAGATGTATTTGTTTCTTGTCTCGCGGATGGGTCAGCAATCATCACAAAATGTTGGTCCCCTTTGTCCACCGATGGTAGATGAAATCCAGGAGATGTGTTTCAGATTTTGACGTTGAGATCGACAAAAAGAAGAGACACACCAGTGCCACGCCGCTACGATCCGCTACGCTTCTCCATCCAACTTTTGTACGTCTGACCTACATCCAAAAGAGATGGTGTATATAAACAGTACATCAAACATCATCAAACCAGGTCTCCTACAGGTGATTTTCTGAGCGATGGGTCCGGGTTGGTGTAGAGACACAAAGCAAGCCGTTTCACCACTTTCGAGGACTGGACCTTGTTCTGCCCCAATGAGGCGGAAGGGGGGTGGTCATTGGGGAGTGGTCACTGTTTTTGTGATAGGGTAGGAGAGGTCGCATTTCAGGAGAGGTGTGATTGCTGAAATTGCTGAAATAGGCTAGGTCAAAGTCTGTGACTAAAAAAACAGGGGAGAACATTTTAAAAAAAGGCAGGGTGACACAGGAGTCATTAAGTGGCATAATGGTTCATTTGCAACCTTAGACCCTTGTGCAGGCTAATTGACTGCGGGTGTGCTCAAAGCGGCAGTGTGCTTTGCAGGAAACTGGCATCGGGCACTGTGTTAACTTTCGACTTGCCACGGGAAGGAGGAAGTACAGTGAAGTTCATGGAATGGAAAAAAGCAAGTACAAGTACTAAAAGAACCAGTGCCTAAGAAACATGAACTTCACTGTATTCTTAGGAACCATGGATGAACCAACCCTAAGAATGAAGTTCACCCTTAGGAATGAAGTACATCTCCCATGGAATGAACCAACCCTAAGAATCCAGGACCCTTAAAGGTGAAGGTTTTGAGGGTCCAGACCCCTGCTATGCAGGGTGAAAACCCTCCATAGGAGGGTCCAATGATTCTTAAGGAAGAAAAAAGTTAATGGAATGTACTGTAAAGCTCAAGAATTTGCATGTTTCTGGAGCCGTGAAGCCGGAGAAGCGTTGACTTTCCAGCGGCCAGTGAAGATGTGTCATGATTGGACATGTCAAGATTGAATGGGGGGTGCTTTTGTTTCCGCATTGTTCAATCTCTATGTGGAAATGATTAATCCAAAGTGAAGGTGGTTTAAACTGCCAGTGAGAAGAAGTCAACGGACTCAGTCTCCAGGTCCCTGTGAACAACGCTATTCTGTGAACACATGGTGTTTCTGTATGTTTCAGCTTGGCGTTGCAGGCCTATGACCAGGAGACAGGAAAGGGTTTGATGGATCTTTGGGGAGAAGAATTCGAACGTCTCTATGAGAAGCTGGAGGCAGAAGGGACGCTTGGTCCGAGATCCGATCCGAGAAGCCAAACTAGATCTGACGAAACACCGCTCCTGAACGATTCGTCCAGAGTAGATGCCATGTTTGCATGGCCCATCACTGTAAATGGCCCCCAGAATTCGGGAGCTTCCGTTTGATGCGGATGGTCGTTGGTTCTGGGGCCTCAGGCGGCCGAGTGTACAGGGTTGTATCGCTCCAAATGCAGTAGACTGTTTTTGCTACTAGTAGCGATGCCAGGAGCTACTAGTAGCTTCTTGTTCCTAGTAATAAGGCCAGGTGCTACTAGTAGCGTCCTTGCTAGTAGTAGAAATGCCCTTTGTTACTAGTACCTTTTTGCTCCTATGATTAGTAATACCCCCATAAATATATGAAGATGCTTCAGCATCCTAGGTGTTATTCATCAACCGGTCGGCCTTATTTTGCCGTTGGTTGGGGCATTGCTTTGGAACTGCTTTGGCACGACTCCAGAAGTGACCAGTCCCAAAGTTCCGCGCCTGGGTAGTTCGTTGAGTTCGACTGGTCCAGAAGGTTTGGAGACCAGAAAAAAAAACACGTTGACCAAGTTCCTTCTGTGCTTTACTTGCTGCATGTCCCATCATTTGAGAGTTCAGAATCCGTTGTATCAACCATCTTTGACTGTGGCCTACATCCTGAGTAAGTGAACTCTGGTCACTTCCACATCACCAGAGCTGTCCGACACGAACTTCGGCCTCTCGTTTTTTCGCACCGAGGAAGGGTCGAAAGACGGTGAAAGCCCAGCACTTGTGGTTCCGAATCCTAGAGGCGAACGGAGCACGAGCACGACTGGGTGGAACAGCACGACTCGACCGTGTGGACCGTGTGAAACAAGATACGGCGGGTGAAACCGAGCTTGCTCGGTCCTCGCTGGGAGGTATAGCCGGCGAAGAAGCTGTGGTATGCGTGGTACAATACCAAGTTGTAGGATACAGCTGTGGATTCTCATGGATTCGCGAAAAAACGAGAGTTGCTGCCTCTCCTGTTGTAGTCGTTCGTTCGTCTGGAAGACTCGTGCTGGGTCAGACCACCCTTCGGAGGCTCAGATGGAAACGGGCACTCCCTACATGCTCTACAAGGATCACTGCAACCGGAAGTCCAATCAGCAGACGCTTGGCCAGTCGACCTGAAGCAGATGTTGACCTGGGGGATGAAGTAAGCGCAGAAAAAAGACTCGATATGTATGAACAGCAACAAGGTGAAGATCTTCAGTTTTATAATGTTTCTATGGACATCCAGGGTACTTTGGGACTTGCTAACCTGCCATTTTGCTTTGTCCAACCATCCTGTAAATCTGGGCAGAATGGGCTGGGTGTAATTTTTTGGGGGGAGAGGAGGGGCAGCAGCGGACGACCTGCCTACAGTGAGGCTTGTGTTTCGTGGCAACGGAAAAGTTGAGCTGACACACAGAGATGGGCCAGGGATGGCCCACATTGACTGATTGCTTGCGATGCGGTGTGGCTTGGAATGTGTCGCCTCAGTTGTCGCCTCATTTGCTTCGTTTTGCTGGCTTTGGAATGCTTTGTTGCGACACGTCCAAGCAGTCGTCGGTCCAGGAGCTCACTTCATAGATTTTGTCACCAAAACTGCCCTTGCTATAGGATTCTATGGACTTGGAGGATCTTGGAGGAGTTGAGGAGAGTTTTCTAACAGCACGTTCACCATTCTCCAAAGCTGTCCCTTCCCCATGTATTTTAACCCCTGGCGCCCCATCTGATCTTCGATCGGTCCATTCGCCGCTTCCCGGTAAGGGGGAAGCTTTAAATCTGCATCGATTGTCCCTCCTGTGTCCAGTTGTACTCACCAACCCAGTCCCATCTATTTTGTGTTTAAGGGAGGAAGTCATTTCGACTGATTATCCTTCACATCGTGTTCATCTGCTATGCTAACCTGGCACCTCTCCAAAACTAACCGAAAGCTTCGCCTCACTCTGAGACAAAACAAAATGGCTCCAAGTCACGGCTCGAAACAGTGGCTTCACCGCAGTCACCGGTTTCCGTTCTTCACCTGACGATGTTCGAGATCCGTGTCCGACTGCTGAGGAATCTGGGCACCATTCATTGTTCCAACTTGTGCACCGAGATCATCGAATATACCTCTCCGGATGAGGCTGTTCTTCCCTCCTCGATCGCTTCACCTCGGATTTTGAAGCCAGCAGCAGCTGTCGTTTTGGTGTGTTGACCTTGGACCTGCCCGTCTTTCGGGGGATCATGAACCACTGAATATGGGGTTGGTCCATGATTGTCCTATTAGTGAAGGCCTCTACAAAGCATGATCATCCACTAAAAGTGGTGATGCGTCCCTACTCGAGGCAGAAGGGAATTCTTTTACTATAAACAACTTGAGAGGGGCTGCGTCACTTTGATGCAATAACCGTGTCTATATTTGGTGTGAAGTACCGCAGTTTCTTAGTGTTTGTTGATTCACAACAGGGCCCATGTTGTCTCGCATGAACGCTTGCGTGAGCTTAAGGAATTTCAGATAGATTCCCTCAGTGAGTTAGGTATTGGTTTGGTCCATCAACGATCGAGCAAAAGCGCACGAGCACCTGAGCAGATGGCGCTTGAGATGAGAATCCAGATGTTCCACCAAAGCCAGGTCATTTGTCATCCTACTCGGTTCAGCACTCTACAAAGTAGAGATCCATCTTTCCTATCATGTTTGCTCCATGTATAAATTTCTGGCACAACTACCGGATTGACCCTTTTGCAGCCGAAAAATGCAGGTGGCGGTGTGTAACTTGGCCTCCATTGCTTTGCCCTCCTTCGTGAAGAATGGAGAATACGACTTCCAGACACCTGCCTGGCATTGGGCTGCAGATGCTGGTTCAAAAAACGTCCAAAGAAGAAAGGATGAAGCCCAATGCTAAAGCCAAAAGTGCTCCTTGGGGTGTAGAGAGTCAAGTCTGGATTGTGGCGCGTTTGTGCAATTGCATCTGGAAAAGCTGAGCAAAATGTGGACTTTTGCCCACTGGCACAGCTAGCGGTGGCGGGTGATGAGTAGATGCCAGATTAGAGAAGATTCTCTATTAATCTCAGTCCTGAGGATGCGAAAATCATGCACAGGTATATAGGCCATGGCATAACATATCAGCCCAATAGCAGTATGGCGTTGATCCAGATGTATCTCCTGTTCGTCCTGGTGTATTGGTCCTCCTTTTCAGGCGGCGTCCGGTGAGCGGATGGACGAGCTCTCAACTGAACAGGTACTGTTGACTCGGTTCTCCCACAACCCGATCACACTCATATTCAGACACAATGTCTTACATGTTGTTGGTCTGAAACATTGAAAACATCCATGACAAGTGTTTCGAAGAAGCCACGGCATCCATAGGTCTCATCAGATCAGAGGTGTCTCATGAATCCGTAGTCTTGCGGATCAGATGAATTTTACTTTCCTGAACTGGGTGCATCCCCTGGCATGGGGAATAAGTAATTTGTTGATATGTGTTGTACTTTTTCCGAAAGTCTGCACACCGGACTCTGTCTTCCTTCCTCAACAACCCCCGGCGGCAGTGACGTCGCGTCGGCCGCCGGCTTCAACTGCGCTTCTACTCAGGAAGCTCTATGAGGTCACGAAGGTGGTCACCAAGAACCTCAACAAGGTCGCTGAGCCGTGCTGTTGTTGTTGTTGTTGTTGTTGTTGTTGTTGTTGTTGTTGTTTTTGTTTTTGTTTTTGTTTTTGTTTTTGTTTTTGTTGTGTTTGTTTCTTTAAAACAAGAAAAAAGTAAAAAACACAATACATGTCCTGAAACCATCTAGAATATATATATATATATATCTTTTATATATAGGAAGTAATACTAATACACAACAAGAATCACCAAATGTATGCAATGTGACGACATTCTTTGGGAGGTGAAGTTGATTTGGTTTCGTTGTTTCGTTGTGCGTTTTTGTGTAAACGTGTCTTTCTGCACATGTTTCTTCAGGTGATTGACCGGAACTACTACCCCGTTGAGGAGGCTCGCCGCTCCAACATGCGCCACCGACCAGTAGGCCTTAGAGTTCAGGGCTTGGCAGATGCCTTCCTCATGCTGAAATTGCCCTTCGAATGTGAGGAGGCAGGTGGGTGAGGAGGCAGGTGGGTGAGGAGGCAGGGAAGCCCGGTTTTTGGTCCGCGCAGGGACCCTGTGGCTTTGGTGGGGTGGGTCGTGCCACGAAGGATGTTGCCCCGGGAAGGTAGTACCCATCAAGTGCAATGGAGTAATATACCCAAAATGTATTATACTAGAACAATGCTCAGAATCCATTTTACAGGTGTGTTTAAAACTCTTCCAGAGAGAGGCAGTGTGGATCCCCAGAAGCCAGGTCGTTTGGGATGGATGCAGATGTAGTGGGCTGGAGTGGATGTGCTGATCAGCGCCGATGCTGAAGAGCACAGCCGCTGTAACGGTCATGTGATGGGAGAAGATCGGCCGAGTCGGCTGCATAAAATTTTCAAGTCTGGGTAGCCTGCTTGTCTTTCAGGATGAATCTTGAGAGTCCCACCACCATGTTGGATTTGGTAAGGACGTCGTTCTTGGTGAGGCTACAGGCTCAGGAAGTTGCGAAGTTGTGTGACAGATACAGTAAATTGCTCAGTGACCGCTGAGTCCTTTGACAAATATAGCAAAGAATGCCAAGCCGCCAAGCCGTCAGACACCGCAGACAAGAGAGACGCCCTTCAGCGATTTGGGAGGCCAAGCGCTTGAATGAAGACATCTTTGAGACCATCTACTTCGCTGCCTGCGAATCCTCTTGCGAAGCTCGGTGGAAGACGACGAAGACGCGGTCAGCGTCGGACGGGATGAACGCAGCTCGCACCAGAAAGCAAATTGGTTTACCTGGAGACCTAGAGGATCGGGAAACCTAGAAACCCCCACAGACCCAGCCAGTGGATAATCGGATAACCTGCAAAACCTTTTTTGGGAGTGGTTTCCCCACTAAACCAAAACAGGTAGAAAAGGTTAACCTTTATTTTCCAGGAAAACTGAAGGACTCAGCCCACATGTACTTTGGCTGGGTGGTAGTACAACCGGTGCAGTGGGAGGCCACATGAACCCACCAAACACAGACGAATGGCATGAGACCAAGCGTCGGGTGGCAGCCTATTCTTTGGGGTGTGATTGTTTTTTCTTTTCAATTGACAACCCACCTCCAACACGCCATGAAAGCTTAAAGAGTAGAATAGAGTTGGTGGGACTCCATGCTGCTTAGCTTGAAACCATTTCAAGAGTAGGGAATGTACCAACGTTTTGAGATGTTTCTGAAGTTCATACAGGTGGTCTTGAGGATATGTATACCGCAACAGTTCCCTACACGTCAAGGACCTCATTCCACTTCATTTGGCAACAAGTCTTCAATGAGGTCTTCGGAGGACATGTTCAGGACCGCTTGGCATAGAAGTCGGTGACGCATTCCCATCCATTTGTGCAGGATGTCTTTCATCCCCTTTTGTGATCTTTGAAACTCTTCGTCCAACCTCAGGAACTCGCCGAACTCCACGGGCCCTATCAGACCTACGCCGGAAGCCCGGCCACTGGGCAGGGACCGAGCCCGAGCGAGACCGAGCGACCGGAGACCAACGGGACGGGCCGGACGGGTGGTGAAGAGGTGAGCCGCTCGGAGTGCGAAGAAGATGGAAGAACCCTTGCATCAGAAGATGGGCAGAGGCCACCCTGAAGAAGATGGGCAAAGACCTGCGAGTGGTTTCCATGAGCGAACACTTCATCGGGTCCCAACCATGACACAAAAAAAGAACAACGTCCATCAACGCGACGCTTCAAACAAACTCGCCCACGCCACGAGGGTCTCGGACGTCACGTGACGTGTGAAGTCCTGGCGTCGTCGTCGGTTGCGTCCGCTCGTCTCGTTCGCGCCGAGGCGAGCAAAGGTCAGTTGCAGTTCGATCTTTGGAACCGCGCGCCCAAGAGTGGACGTTGGGATTGGCAAGGCCTTAAGGCAGCCGGGACGTGCCGGGACTCGTGGTTGGCACCGGGACCCGTGGGGTGGGTGGAGTAGGGCTGAGTAGGGCATGCGGAGGATGTGGGAAAGGAGGCCACATGGATCAAAAGACTGTAAGGATCGTAAGGATCTGATTTTATTAAATTCATAACCCACCCAAAAAGAATCCATCGAGAAAATAGTTGCCTCGATACCGGCCACGAGCCAAATCCTCCCGCCCTAAAGCACCACACCAAATCCTTTTTCGTCGCGGTTTTTCCACTCCATCCGTCGAGTGGTCCAGGCGCGGATTGCAGCGCACGGGCTGCGGAACTCCCTGCTGGTGGCACCGATGCCGACCGCCAGCACTGCACAGATCTTGGGGAACAACGTGCCTTGAATAAGCACGGCTTCGGACCTCGGAGGTGGGGTAGCGGAAACGTGGTGAACACCTGCAGGAGTGGGTCAAAAGCAGGTGCAGGTGCTTCGTCCCTCGGACTCCGAAGATGAATCATGCCGTGTCGGTCCAGTCAGGTCAAGACAAGTAGACCACTAGCAAACCAATCTCAGTGCCCCCGCATGTGTTTTGTAGGAAGACACTTCTACGAGAGGACTTGGGGGCCAAGCAATAGCACCTATGCGGTGTCTAGTGGCGCCTGCGTTGGTTCTTGACGGTTCCAAAGCCTCACTGAAACCAAAATTGGTCTTAGAGAGGAGCACCCAGTTCATTTACCCTTCATCCGCCTTCATGCAGGAAGCGTTCATTGTCCAGGTTTGGCTCCGTTTGCCAAGGAGGCTGTGGTTGATGGGTGCGAATATTTGTCGCATCATCCACTCAAAAGCAGTCCAGCAGAGCCGCTGTCGCGTCGCTATCGTCTCAGGAGTCCTTTGAGCCTTACACGCAGAACCTCTACGTGCGGCGCGTGCTCTCTGGAGAGTTTGTCCAGGTGAGGGACTCGTTGGTTCGACCGTCGGAAAGATCGCTGCATCGTCACCATCAACTTCGGTGCTCCACTGGTGATCTATTTGTTTGGACGACCACTTCGATTCTCACCATCGTAGAAACATGTAGAAACTGAAAACACCGACACCTTGGGTGAGGTCCTTTCTGCAAGCAGACCCCTCAAGTTTTCCAGGTGGTTGGCTTTGGGGTTTGGCTTGTTGAGGTCTATGGAAATGTTATGAAATGTTTGCAGAGAACTGGTCAAGCCAAAGACGAATGGTTCTAGTTTGGTTTTGTCGTTGGTGATTAGAGGCAAATGGAAGGGTAGTGAAGGGTTTTGCAAAAACCTATTCTACGAACATCGTGGAAGGCGTGGGACATTCGTAGAACCCAAGGCTATTCGTGGACAGTTCGTGGAATGGTGGGCCAGTAGGAGAACTGACTGCAACGAAATTCCAGAAACCTTCGCAGAACTTCGTGGAAGGTATTTTTTATGCACTAACTTCGGATAAGTGATTTTTGCTGACCCCCTTTCTCCACACACCCTCCATTTAGCCTTCAATTATTCATGCTTTTTCTTCTTCGCCTATTGACCTATTGAGTTTGTTTTCCGTGTGTGTCTTGTGCATTTGGAAGTTCCTGTAGGGTGCAGTAGGCTTTGAAGCCGAATGGAGTTTCGGAAAGATGTGAAGAGCAGCGAAAAACAACTTTAAGCTTCTCCTTCATCATCCTACATCAACACACACACACACATTGCCCATAAGCTTCACACACATTGTCCTTCATTACTATGCTTCTCCTTATGTGAGGTCCTCGTTCTTAACACATATATTTCCCAAAAGCAACACTGTGCCTTGTCAAGGTTTGTGGAAGATGCAGGAAGATGGAGCAGACATGGATGTTCTTTACACAACCTTGTAGTTACGAGTCCAGTACCAGTGTGGTTAGAGTAGACTCATGCCAGCAATTGAGTCAACTCTCCCTACTTCCGTACTGAAAGATCCCCAACATCACCAGCTCCACATCCCATTGGCTATGGGTGAAAAGCCCCGGGGTTCTGGTGTTTCCCACCGAAAATGAGCAGGAATAGACTACAGCAAGGAGGTTAGACTCACATGACATGGTAAAATGGGCTCCAGAGTTGAAGAACCCATATCTCCAACAGCTCCACATCATTTGCCGCACATGATAGAGTGTAGAGGAATCTGTTCACGTTCAGGGGTCAACCAGGGCGCCGGGGAAGGTAAATCCACAGCCACATCTCCATCAACAGCTCCATTAACGGCTCCACAAGCAACGCTTCAAGCATTCTTAAGCACAACTCTAAAATAGTAAAGCACAAGTATGCTCGTTGGTTGTTGTTTGTATTCAACAATTCTCACTATTTTGGAACAAGGTCTGCAACCTAACCATCATCATCCACTGGGCCCTGGTCATAATTAGGATAGACCCAACAAGTATGCCCAGGACACGCCTTCTTCTGCTCACTTCGACCCTATTCTCTTCACCTGCGTCCAGGTGAATCGGCACCTGCTCAAGGACCTCATCTCTCGAGGCCTATGGACCGATGAGACCCGTGTGCAGCTCATCGCGCAGAACGGCAGCGTGCAACGCATGGACTTGCCGCAGGCGCGGACAGGGCGCAGACGGGGCGGCGGGGCACGGCGGTGTTCGTGTGCGGCGCGGACAGGGCGCCTGCAGTGTTCTTCGGCACGCGGTGTCTTGAAGAGTTCATGAGAATCGTGTCAATGAGTCAAGCAAGAGGGGGAGGTGTTTTTGTTCAATTGTTCAAAAAGGTCCTTGGTCTTTGGTCCGCAAGTGGATTGATACTGACAAAGTCATAATTTTGGGTCCTGATCCTTTCAGGTTGAGTTCATCCATTTCGGGTTCAGAACGAGGTGGCCTGATTTTTGAGTGTTTCATGTACTGTCCCGCCTAAAGAAAGACCGAGACCTCAATGCCGCCACAAAGCAGCCCGGAAGCAGGGAACTCCGTCCGCAAGTCTTCCCGTCCGTCTTCATCCGGCAGGACGTGAAGGAGCTCTACAAGACTGTTTGGGAGATCAAGCAGCGCTGCGTCTTGGACATGGCAGCAGATCGTGGTGCCTACATCGATCAGTCTCAGTCCCTGATGCTCGGGAGCAGTCAATGTGGGCCAGTGAGATGTGGGGCGGCTTGCAATTAGTGAGTGTTCATTGACGATTTCAGAGTGGATGGAAGCTGATGGAAGCATGTTTCCTTGGCCTCAAAACCCTATACAGACCAATGCACTTTGTCCAACTACCAGGCTTGGTTCGACCAAAAAGTTCCTTTCCAAACGTCACGACGACGTCCCAGCGATGTGCGCATGCGCTATGCGTGCGTTATGCGTGCGCGGCGAATGCACTGAGGAACATCCATATGTTGGATGCGAACACCGGCAAGTTGAGCTCCATGCATTTCCACGGTTGGAAGCTGGGGTTGAAGACCGGGCTTTACTACTTGCGCACCAAGGCATGGAGACGGAGCCGCCGGTGGGTGATGACTGCGCCGTAGTGATGTGATTGTGATGCCAGTCTCCAAAGCCCTGAGCACGTGAAAGGAGGTGAAGGGAAACGCTTTTGGAAACACAACCAGGGCAGTAGAGGCAAGAGTTGGACTTAGGGCAGTAGATGGCTTTGACTGGTATAGCTGGTGCAGCTTGGCTCATAAGACTCTTAGGATCAGCGCGAATCACGTGCTGATCGATGTTCATAACACCCATGGGGTGACAGGTGTGGAGTGAGCTACAGCGGGTGACAGGTGTGGAGTGGCTCTATCCAGATGAACTCTATGAACTCTGTGGACCGCAGAGGAGTCCCTGCTAGGTGATGGTTTCGGATATGTTTATGTTCAACCCTTACTTGGGGATGAAGAAGGACCCTCTGACTCATATTGGTTCGTCTTGGTCGTTCGTGGCTGGGGGGAAAACACCAACCAGCCTGGTCTGTTCCGATTCACCCTGTCTTCCGGCCTCTCAAGGACCCACGGCTTGGAGTTGACGTCATCCCGGCATTACCCTGCGACTGGATGTCGACTTGGATCATACGCGGAAGGAATCCCGGGTTTGTGCGTCTTACCTGTAACAGCCATCATCATCCACTGTTACAGGTACTGTAATAGGATGCAACCCATGTAGATTTCCGCCACTCAAATCGGGATGCCGCAAACCCCAATGCGCAGATGCTTTCGGGCTTCAAACCGCCTCGGCCGGTTTCAGGCCGCTGCGGATGCGATCAAGTTCACCGTAGATGTGGAGGCCTTGAAGAGGAGCTCAACCGGGAGCGGGCGGCGGATAACTCGGAGTAACAAGGCTGTTTGGAGGTTTTGGCCGTTCTCATCCCATCTCGTCCGTCAAAAAGAACATTGACTTGTCAGGTGTTCATCCAGCAATGCCATAAAATCATGTGTTCTCTTTGGTGAATCACCGTGGTTTCGAAGGACACATGGGAGCTACTCGTTACACATAGAACCATGTTCAATGGACCCCTCCACGTAGACGTAGACTAGCGGAAGCTCCATGTGGAGACTAGCGGCTGAGAGCCTACCAAGACCTAAACGAGCACCATGCACATCCGTTCCAGTATCGGTTCCGGCACCACCCCTTGCCTTGGGTCGTTACCCTCGCGCTACGCGAGGTCGGAACATGACAAGGTCACACGGGTGGGAAAGACCCGTCAGCCTGGGAGCGGAGCACAACTGGAGCTTTAAAGAGTCCGAAGATGGGAAAGAGCCCTCAAGATGAATGGAACTGAAGTGTGACTAGAAGCTAAGGAAAGGTGGAGGCCATCGCTATTGAACGTCACAATGAAGCTTTCGTTCGTATGTGGTTTTGTGAGTTGGTGCAAAAGGAGCGATGAGGACACCCACTGGTCACCACTCCGCTGTGCAGGAGCGGTTCTGACTCGGAGGGCACCCTCAGCAGCAGCGTGAGTGGAAGCTCGTCGAGCTGCTCGGGCTCGTCGAAGGCGGTCATCGAAGCCTTGAAGGCGGAGAAGCCGAAGTATGATGCCTGGCAGACTTGAAAAGGTGGTTTCAACCGACCTGGCTGAGGAGGTCAGATGATGGTGAGTGGCTGGAGTGGCACTTGGGTAAGATACACGTTCTTGAGTTCATGGCTTGAGGGTGAAGGGATGTGAAGGGGTAGGACCGGATAGAAGTATGGAAGAGGATGGAAGTACCAACGAGTTTGTCTTGGGTGGGTGAAGGCTGGCAGGTTGTCGCCAAATGCCCATCAGCACTTCTTTTCGTCCCGTGCCTCGAAGGTGGCAGGTTCCATTTTCGACAGCATAGGTCGAGACGACTGCAAAAGCCACAGAAAAAGCCCATCCATCTCCCAGCCCTGCTGTCGTTGTGCAGCAACACTGCAATATTTGAGAGACATTCCCTGTGAGCCACCAAATGGTGGTATAAATACATACTTTGAAGGTAATTTTTCGGGTGACGGTGATTGGTAGGAGGGGTGTGTGGATCCTGTTTGAGGTGGTTGGTCACGTTTTAGATGCGCATGAACAGCACATTTAGAATGTGGAAGCCTTCGAATATCATTGGTTTCGTCCCTTCCATGCTGCATTTGCCGGCCCCAGGAATGCATCAATTGCGCAAGCTAATTCAATCATCGCCCTAGACAAGCGCTGGAAGTGGAACTCTGTCAAAAATCTATGGCGGGAGTTCCCTTCCATTTTTGCATGCCTCAGGGCAAGACAGCTGGGGGAGCTGTCAATTATCATGTCTCATGATAGGGGGATGCGCTTCAATTGCAGCTTGCATTGAAGACCTCTTTCTTTTCGCTTGGCACCTTGCAGGGCCTGAACATTGCGAAACGGGGTGTGTGGTCGTTCCTCGGGGAGGATCTTGTCGTGCGCAAGCGCGCAGGACGGGTTTGCCTGTTCTGTGTTGGTATGCAAAAAGCTCCCACAAAAGAGTTTCGACCACGTCTTGAATTTGGTGCAACGTACAGTGCACGACGACATTTGAACGTGTGACAAGAGAGCTGGGGGTCGAGAAAGAGTGGAATTCTTGGAGCGGTGGCGAGGTTGAGAGGCTTGGTGCTGTGAAAGGCTTCATGTCGGAGGTGGAACCCCAAAGCCTCAACAGAATGCTGCGGTTGCTGGGGCCAACAAGAGAACAGGAACCTCGCGAGTGTCGCCACACCGAATCAAGGTTTTGGGACTTTCCCGATGATGTCCTCATACCTACTCATACGAATCAGTACTGCGAGGCTTCTCAACCAGGTTTCTTGACACAGAATCCTTTTTGCATGCTGTGAATCGAAGGTTAAGGCTTGTTAAGGCACTGCTTGCAACATTTTGGCTACAGCAACTATATCAAAGACATCCTCTATGATTGATGGGTTCTATATGGAGGATAATATGGAGGATAAGCATCATGGCAGGTGAGTACAAGGTGTCTTTGAGACTGCCAACGGGCGTTCCATTGAGACTGCCACCGTTGTGTTGAGACTGCCCGACTTTTCACGGTAGAAAGACCTGAAACAAAGATGCTTGAGCCTCAAACGCGAAGTGCTGCACTTTGAGACATCGCCCACTCCAATCCTTGAAGAACCAGAAAACATCCCAAAACATTACACCAAAGCAGGCGTGTCCAAGTCTGGCACTACATGCCATAAACCCACCACCCTGCACTGTCTATTCCATGTCCACGTAGACGTTGCTCCATATATTACAGCGTCTCCACCCCCCCCACACCAAAAAAGACACTAACATCGCTGCATCCCTGTGACCGACACGCTGACAACACCGTGCCGCCACTCTCGCAGGACGCCACGTTCGCTGCCGTCGCCGAGATCCTGGGAGCCTTCGCGGAGCTGGGGACGCCCTTTGAGGCGATCGACCGGGGGGACGCCGGATCCGGGAAGGCAATGAGGGATCTGGAGATTTGGACTCTAGAACATGAAGTGGCTTCACACTGTATTATCATGTGTGGGGAGAACAATGGGGGCCTGACCATTGCCATGAGAAGGCTGGGAATTCCTGCGCAAGAATGTGCAGTCATGGAACCTTACCGATTTTTGCTTGGTGTGTGGAATGATGTGGAGTGGGTATGTTCAAGTGCAACTCATGTTGCTTTGCTATTGGTACCCTGGAAGTTCAAGGACCAGTCCCGTCTTGGGGTAACTACCTTTAGCGTCTTTAGTTCTTGCGCTGACTGAGGGGTTGTGTTTGGCATCAAGAGAGCTCTCCTCCCCGCAAGCCCTGCACAGCTCCCTGGTAACCCAGTGTGGGAACAACACTTCGCGAAGGAAGATCCCAGGATCGAAGTTGAAGGGGGGGAATGTCAACACAGAAGCCAGCCCTTTTTGACGGTGGATCCAGATTCAACCTGTGGCTATGGCTTGATCATATGCCTTGATGCTTTCGACCTCCCAGTGTTTCCTGAGGGCAGCAGATATGTGTGTTTTCATGTTTTCGGTGGACAGTTGGGTTGTTCAACACGTGGCGCAGTAGTTGTCGTAGACAGCGTATCCGGTGCTTGCCCCAGCTAGTAACAGTAGTGGATATAGTGGCTATGCATGGCTATGCACACTAAGGGCATTGCCCGCTAGCAGTGCAAAACAATGGAAGAAAAACAAGGCATTTCTCAAACACACTGAACTTAGAAACAATGGGTAGTGGCACGCACAGTCAATACCCAGTTGTACTCACAGATGACCACAGCCCAGACCGTCTCACCTCCCAGGCTTCAGTGGACTTTTGGTTGAGTGTGACTGCCAAGGCGCGTCACAGCTGCGCCGGGTACGCCGGGGACGCGATGTGGTCTGACCATATGGACACAAACAGATTCCTTGTCGACTGCAGAGGAACTCCCGTGCTGTCTCTTTGTTGGCTAACTCTCGTGTGGAGAATGTCCCCACCTCTCAGATAAAGGGTTGTTAGATTTGATGTCAGCCCCATTGCCCCTGTTTTGATTAAATCAATCTTATGGACCCCCCCCCCCCCCCCCCCCCAGTGAGACGACCACCACATCGATCCTTCGCCCGTCCAGACGTGATACACCCGAACCCGAACGCGCACGTCGCACGACCGTGAACGTGAACGACGCAGACGGACAAGCGTTGTTTCTGCGTTGGTTTGGACAGCCGAGTGTTTGGACCGAAAGAATGCCTTGACCGTGTTTCTAGGCGTTCATTCAATCGATTCAGACTCATGAACCATCAGCATTGCGTGCAGATTTGGGTGAAAGATGAGATCGAACGTCTGTGATGACCAGTGGCCCAGTGGCCCTAGCAGCGACGGGTCGTATAAAGACCGTCAGTGGATCCCAACACTGGCAACCGGTGGTTCCGGCCAAACTCAACACGTAGTAACAACCTCCAATGGTCCTAGATCGTGGATTCCTTTAAGGAACGGATACTTGAGCCAGAAGCAGGCCCAGGACCCTGCACTGTTAGAAGTCATACCAGAAGTTCACTCGAAAGTGCACTGGCACAAAAGAAACTACAGCAAGACCGTGCTGCAAACCCCCAAAACCCATAAACTCGCCATTGAAAAGTAGACATCTCCACGTCGTGATGTTGTTGCCGTGATGTTGTAGCCCTCCAAAAGACCTCCCTCGCAAGGGCACAAAAATCACATGCCGCCTCTTTTAGTAACGCCCTTGCTCCTAGTAGTAAGGCCAGGAGCCCCGTTCGTAGCCTTCTTGCCCCAGGGCACCAAAGCGTGCCGGGCGCAGGTGCCTGGGAACAGCATCCGCCACCTCGCACCGATGCTGCGGGCCCTGCGAGACTTGAAGGCGGCGGACAGGACACGGGAGGAGACCGGGGATGGTGAGGGACATGGGGGAACCCTCCAAGTTGTTGAGCATATAGAGATGAATATATATATATATATATATCACGAAAGGTAGCCTCAGGTTACCTGAGTTCTCCTTGCTTTCGCAAAAAATGTATTGCAGTCAGGACTTGCTGCTGTGCCTAGAGTTTGCTCCTGTAAGGGATTCTGTTCGACAGGGGGGCCTGCGCCGTCACTTATTGGGTCACATCCATCCACCTTTGACGCCGTGAGTCATGGACTTCTACCAGGGTTATTTGTGATGGCCTGCTACCTTTCGGAAACACCCCCTCCTCTCTCAAGTATATGATAATATTGATAGATTTATATTTAGTTACAAATTACTGTCAGTGATATCCAGTAACTATCCATATAGTGGCTACCAGCTACCACACCTTCTCAGCACTAGGCTTTTAGTGAATTGTACAGGCAATGGAATAACTACAGTTACCGGTGGACAAGACAGATAATACAGTTGATTCAGATTCTTCTATATCTGACACGTGTTTTATTGATAATAATCGTGATGATGATTTAACAGAACTTAGTACTTATATCCCAACCCAAATAAGTGGTATAAACAAGGAGCTCAACAATAAACCCTAGTAAGTAGCTCAACAGCTCACGAGCACCAAGACTACGTGGTCACCCCACGTTCCAGGCCGAACGGACGACGACGGAACGCCCGTCTTGGACCCAGGTCTTGGAGCCTGCTCTACTGGAGGCAGCTCAACGCCTCGACGCGGCACAGGGGGAAGGAAGGGGGGACGAGCGCCAAGGGAAGACGAGCGCCTATCATCAAGGGAAGGGCACGGAACGTGTGTCTGGTCAACAGGCGCACCAGGAAGTGGTCGGTTCGGATTGCAGCGGGTCCGCTCGGCGGTCGGCGCCGAAGAAGACCGCGCCATGGTGGAGCTGGTGAGCTGCCGTTGGCAACGAGGTGGAAGAGCACGTGTTGAGGCAAAACGGAGGAGAGGTGGCACGAGATTTCCACCAAGCAAGGGATTGTGAAGGTTGTCTCATCCGCAATATCCACATCTTTAAAGTGAAAGCCGGCCGGTTCTTGGAAGCTCTGCCTTGCCTTGCTTGTGCCTTGCCTGCGGAAATCGTGACACTGAGAGAGCTTTTCAGATCATTGCAGTTCACAGATGCTGGGAGTGTGATGGAGGACCCGGGGAGGGGAATTGAACCAAACAAACTGGCACCCCGAGGAAAAACCAACAGACCATGATCCATCGGTGAATCATCGGACTTAAGTCATTGAATGAGCGAGATCAACCCATGATTGATCGTATACATCAACATATTACTTCATATATCAAAATATGGTATCAGCATTCATGTTGGAAGTTTGTTTCCGTGGGAACATGATCGGGTTTAATCTGTATAGGACTTTGGTGCACAACAAACAAAACCAAGAAAACTGGCTTCCACCGCATCTCAGACTCGGACTCGGACGACTCGTAGGGAATGAGGGAAGTTTCAGAAACCCCGGGAATGGCCCGGATCCATCGCCATATTCGAGTCGCCGAGTCGCACCCGTCAGATCATCGGACGCGTCCTCTGTCATCTTGGTCGTCTGCAACGTCAGCAACCTCGTGTCGTGTCCGGCTGTTGCGGTCCGACGAGGCCGTGGCGCAAGAGCTGCTCCTTCGGCTCGAAGATGCACTACAGACGCTCGTTTCGGAGTGATGGAGTGGGCTGGGAGCGAGGCTGGGGTGTGAGAACAGCAGTGTCAACAGCAGATGGGTGGGAGCGGTTCAGTCTGTCGGGAGACCGAACCGCCGGCAACCATTTGGGTGGAAAGGTTCGGGACATGGTCTCCCTATTAGAATACACACCCAGAGAGGTCATATCATACCGATGGCCGCTGGAGGGACCCCCATATGATCCCATGATTTTGTCCGAAGGACGGTTGCACGGGTTGTTTTTTCCTGTACAATCTGAAGGGTTTCCACTTCCGTGATACTTCCAGAAAGGGATACTGCCTGTTGCAACAGCCAACAAGTCTTTGCTGCTTTGAAGAGTCCAAAGATGTTCCAGACATTCAATCGATTTGCAGTCCACTTAAAATTTGCATGTTGACCATTTGTGGATCACCAAAAGGAATGAACTCAGTAACGAGGACTCCAAAAGTCGGCTACTGCGTCCCCAGAATGTTTTCCACCATTTCCCCGAATGCCCAAATGGTGACCGGAATGTAATACTAGTTACTATGTAATACTGCTACTTGTTGCTGAACATTGAGTGAACGCGGGAGTTCACAGATGGCGACCGTTTTCTGCCAGAAAAGGGTTCGATCCCTCTAAAACCTTTTTGGGGCTCTAGCTCCTCAGGTCCACCTTTGAGATGCAACAAAGTTCCTGGAAAAAAAGACCTACAAGCAATGAGTGACCGAGCCCTACATGGTACATTGCCCCAAATGCCCATGTACCATACACCACTCCAATTGAGTCCCCCCTCCGTCTGCGATGTGCGGCTCACGTCCGACGTCGGGTCCCGAATCGCGTCGGTTCTGGACCTCCGCGTGCGCCGTCGTTGCGAAGGGACGAAGTGGTGTAAATTGGTCGGGGTTGTACTTAAATGAATTGAACGGACGAAGTGGTGGACCTCCCAAAAGAGTTCTACCTAAATGAACCATATCTGGTGCAACATGTTTCCACCTTGGCTGGTTGTTAGTGAGAAGGCAAAAAGCAATGATCATCTAGAATTGTATATACACAGATTCAGAGATCCATGTATCAACTGGACACTCACATGGTCCTGAAACTGAGTGTCCGTTGGTTACATTTGCCTGGCCCTGAGGCCTGACATGACGACGCCAGAGGTGTGGTTTGGTGCGGTGGAAGTTAGGGTTTTTTGTGTGTGTGTTGTCGTTTTCAACAAAAAGGACCAGTGGAACTTATCAATCTAGGTAAGTATATGTGTAAGGTGGTTTTCTGATGGCTTGATGTGAAGTGCGAATGGCTCAGCTATTGGTTTCTGCGGATGTGCCATGCCACGGCCCGCCACGGCCAAATAATCCTGCCAATTAGAAAGTGTGTAGCCTCCAAAAAATTATCAACATAGAACCTGAGAAATTAGCCAAAATGTTCTTCTCACTGGACCGGTGTAACCAGAGAATATACGCTGAATTCACAGGTGAGAACGACGGCCGGCCCGACGGACGTGAGAACGTAGAACAAAAGCCGAGTTTGACTCGCCACCACCGAAAACAGCGCGATAGATCAAACGGGCTGAAAGTGGTGGGGTCCCCCAATTTGCAAACCATCAATATGATGATATTCAATGGTATTTAGGAAGACTAACCAGCCATCCTTGGCTTCAATTTACAAATGAAATAGAAATCATGTGCAATGTATTCCTTTTCTTGGCTTCTTCTCCCCAACTTGCACCATCTCCCAGCGCTGTTTCAGAGCGCCAGGTGACGCCTGACCGTCCACGGCCGGCACCCTTCCCGGCACCTCCGCGGCTACCACAGCTCCTAGGCAACCAGGCAGACGGGGCAGACCCATGGAGGTGGCGGTTGGGACGATGGCAACTAACTGCAGATTGCGATTCCAGTTCCAGCTGGGTGAACTAGGATCATGTCATGTAACCTGTTTGAACCTTTGGACTTATCAACTGAGATCACTCTTCGAGAGAGCCGCGCTGGAAGTGTTGACATCCTGCATCATGTTTTTTTTTGTTTTTAGGAGTCATTGCCCGAAGATGTTGATCTTCTCAAGCTACGCAGACGTTGGTGGACTTGTGGACTCATGGGACAAAATAGCACAGCACTAAAGGCTTCTTGGAGTGGTTGGACTTGTGACAAGAAGAAACTTCCTGAGTAGTTGAACTGGCTTGATGATGACGGAGTACAAAATGATGGTGTTGCGGGTTGTGGCAATTGGGGTTTGGGGGTGTATGAGACAAAAAGTTGGAGGAAGAAGGTAAAAGGACACTGATACCACCTGAAATAGTGAACACTCCAGCAACTACGCTACTTTGATTGCCCTCACCACACTGGATGCATCCAGGCTTCGTTTCAGCCTCCCCACTCTCGCAGACCTTCCGGTCGGGTGTTTTCGGAGTCGGCGCCGGCCTCCCCCGCCAGGTCGAAGGGGCGGCCAAAGATGTGGGGATCCTCGGGCGGTAGCGGAGCAGTAGCGGTAGCTTCCGCCGCGGAACGTGGGAGCCCAGCCGACACCGTTTGCGGATCAAACCACCGACGGATGGAAACAGGGGCCGGCCAGAGACGTGACCTGGGGATCGTTAGGATGGAGGTTGGTGTCGTACTGATGGAACATATCTCGATCAAGGGAGATGGAGAGGTTTTAATGTGAATTTCCATGTTCGTGCAGGATTTCATGAAAGTAAAGAAAGATGTCCAACAAAAAAATCAGGACCATGTTTCTCAAGCTGGGAAAAAGGGTTTGACCGTGACCGCTGTTGCTGTCCACAGCGGGAAGACAAGAGAAACATGCTCTCGGAGCAAAGTCACATTCTCACCTTTAGGCAAAATGGTCATGAACCACGAACATGGGATGATGTGGCTAACTCTGGGTTCTCCGTAATTCAACCTTTGTTATGGTTTTTGCTGCGTTGTCCATGTTTTGTTCAGTTGTCGCCTACAGCAACTCACTTGTCGTGTTTTCTGGGTCCGGCCAGCTGTTGGCATCATGAGTCAGCGGTGATAGGGTTCATCCATCATCAGTTAATGCCGAGAAGAAGGAAATCACTCCTTCACAGCTTCCCACGTGTTCCGTTGGGTGTTTGTTCGGTCCGTGGAACGCGAAACGCAACACTCTAAAGAACCTATACCAAACACATCCCAAACACCCCTTCTGTCTTCCGTCGATTCTGCGGCCCTGCGCCGGCGCGGCGAGGTCGCCGGGCAGGCCGAGGAGAGCCAGGTGCGACGGGTGCCGGTCATCGGGTCCATGGAATCGGAGGGAAGCCTCCGACATCGAGGGGTCGGGGTCTTCGGGGGTGAAGCAGATGGCTGTTGTGGTCCCTTCTGTTCCACCCTTCTGTTGAGTGAGTGAGTGAAACCAGCGTGGGTGAAGGTGAAGCAGGTTGCGCGGTGTTCAGATTTGGTTGGTAATTCCGCAAGAAAGGCAGTTGCTTGAGGAACCATGAACAAATTTGCACGATCAGACGATCCCAAGTTGTCCTAAGTTGAAAGAGTCCCAGTTCCTCAGAGGAGTATCTTTGCATACCATGATGCTGAGACTGTCTCATGTTTTGGGTCTATCATGTTCTTGCATGGCGTTCCAGTTCCACTTCATTGCTAGTACATGTTACGTAGTACCTCCTCGCGGAAGGGACATGAAGCGACTGAAAAGCCATGTTTTGTTACTACGTGTTTACTACCAACCACCTCCAAAAAAACCTGGTCTATCAATTTGTCGGCACCTGGTCTAGCACACTCGGGGGTGCGTTCGACTCGAAGACCTGTCTGGAAACTCACAATCTCAGAGACTGACGATGAAAGACACATAAGTCGATCGAATTGGAACTTGTCCCAAAGCAAACTGAAACGTGTCTGATTTCTATAGACATGTTCCTTCCCTACTTCAACTTGGCCCTTGGGCTTTGGAATCCGACCTGCTCTGGATTGACGATGAAACCGGTCGAGCAGTCTTGCAGGCGCTGGTGACAACTGACCCCAACGCTTTGTTTCAGGCTCGGCGGCAAAGTTGCCAGGTACAGGGAAGTGTGCAGATTGGAATCGATTCCGTCAGTGGCCAACCTCGACCCTTCCAGAGCAACATGAACTGACTGGTAGACCCAGCCCTTTCTGGCAGTTTCCATGTTTATCAACAGATGATCTTCTTGGGGCAGTGTTTCCCAAAAGGGAACCAGCGAAGTTCTTGGGTGAGTTTGGAGGGTCAAAGACGTCGATGTGGGAAACATGGGATATGTTGTTTTGGGGCGTTCGTTGCTCGCACTGGATGCGTTCAGACAAGCTCCAAAAACATCCACAGCAGATCACAGCAGCACTGCGAGAACTAAAGCACCACGACCACTGTTGATGAGAGTCCTCTACGCCGATGCCTGTTGTTTTGCGCTGGGGTGTGGTGCGAGACCTGCTTCGCAGTGCACACGGCTTCGCCCATCTTCACCCATCGCCTTTCAGGTTGAAGCAGATGATGCTATCATCGATGAGGACTCGAGAAGCGAAGACGCTGACTGGGTCATCGTGACCATGGCGCCGCGCATGAGACTTAAGCTGAAGGTTGGCATGTGATATAAGATGATGGAATATGTATGAATATGTTCTAAATGGATCTAAATGGCCTAATTTAACCACTTGGAATGTTGAAGCAGCTTTGAGACTTAAGCAGACTTGATGCTGAAAACTAGCTGAGAGACCGGCCCAAACACGTGGTTTGAGTCCAATTTGGGGCAGGAAACCTCAGAAAGTGCAGCGGTCTAAGCCAGGTTCTCGAGAATTACTAGGGGCAGTGATGGAATTCCTGGCGTTTAATCCGAATGGAGATGGTTTCTGTGGTCCAAGTGGGTTGCAGGTTGCTGCACATCCTCATTTGGAGCGATGAAACCCCGTGGGACTACGGAAGAGTCATCTACCCCGTCGACCTGAGGGATGCTTTCCATTGCACACATTCACTAAGACGATCCCAGCAGATCTCTCAAAAGGTAGGGACAGAGACAAGCTAAATTACTTTGGAATGCATCGTGCCCAACACCCCTGCTTGGAAGGGGTCGAAGGAAGCCTTCATGTGCTGTGTGGAAAAACAGATGTGGACACATCGTGTGGCCTCGTTGGAGCCGAAACATGTGGGGCACCGATGAGTCGCATGGCGCGGCGCGCGCCACGCCCGACAGGACGAGGACAGCGACGGCAAGGCCGAGGGCTCCACCGGCCGAACGAGGAGCGGAGCGGAGCTCGTTGACCGTTTCGAAGCATCCCTTTTTCATCCAGATCTGGCACCTGGAAGTCACCATGGACAATCGATTCCTTTTAAACATAACAGGCAATGTGTGAATCGTTTTGTTCCTTTGTGACGTTGTGAAGGACTTGTAGAATATGTTGGTCCATGTTGGTCCTTTCAGGAAAGGACTTCAAAGATTTCTCCAAATGTCCTTCTCCGGATGTCCAATTCCTGTCATGGTGTCTTCCTGCTCTATGTGGATCTATCAACGGAACATTCACTTAAGACCATGCCACAGAGCCTCCCACAACTCCTACCTCTCCCACGCGGACCAAGCCGGTGCCTCCTGACCAGATACTCCTGCATGGATCTGCATGGAAAATGCCACCTGCAGGAGATGGTACAACGCGGTGACGCGGAAGTTGGACTTGAGCGCCGACCCGGACGCCTCCCAGGCACCACAAAAACTAGACGACGGGTGGCCCGAGAGCGAGAAAAAGAAAAGATGTAGATGTTAAGTTTGTAGATGTAGAACATGAATGTTAGTTTCTGATGATTTAGGATGTAGAAGTGGTGAAGAAGATACAAGAAGAGGTGAGAAGAAAGGAGAAGAGAAAGTAGATATGAAGTGAGATCTGTGAGAAGATGTGATGACAGGAACAAGTGGCGTAGAGGAGGTGAGAAGATGTAGCAGAGGTTTTGAATTTTGGATTTAAAGGTGTTGAACAAGACGCAACAAGATGTGAGAAGATATGAGAAGAGAGAAGATCTTGCAAGTGAAATGAGTGAGAAAAGGCCTGCCCCCCGCCTTAAGAGAGAAAGAATAAAGAAGAGAGATGTGAAGATGTGAGAAGATATGAGAAGATGTGAGAGAAGGTGAGATGCGAGAAGATGTCAGATGTGAGAAGATATGAGAAGATGTGAGATGTGAGAAGATGTGAGATGTGAGAAGATGTGAGAAGATGTGAGATGTGAGAAGATGTCAGATGTGAGAAGATGTGAGAAGATGTGAGATGTGAGCAGATGTGAGAAGATGTCAGATGTGAGAAGATGTGAGAAGATGTGAGCAGATGTGAGAAGATGTCAGATGTGAGCAGATGTGAGGAGATGTGAGAAGATGTGAGATGTGAGAAGATGTGAGAGGATGTGAGATGTGAGAAGATGTGAGCAGATGTGAGAAGATGTGAGAAGATGTGAGATGTGAGAAGATGTCAGATGTGAGAAGATGTGAGAAGATGTGGGAAGATGTGAGATGTGAGAAGATGTCAGATGTGAGAAGATGTGGGAAGATGTGAGA